ACACACATGTGACACTGTGACCTTTTCCAGGGTTCCTCCTTCAGGAGGCTTTCTGCGTCCCACCTGGCGGCCTGACACTGGTCACATGTCCTTGGTTATCACATGTCCTCCACCCCAGTGGGAAGTGGCCGAGCTCACCTTCTGCAGCAACTTCTGAGCCTTTTCTCCTGGTAACAGGCGGAGCCCAGCTGTGGCCTTGAGGACCAGAGGCGTGGCCTTCCAGAAGTCAAAGGGAATGTCTTGTTTGGCAACGTCTAGTAGCTCCTGGATTCCCTGGGAGCTCTGAGGGTGGGACACACAGCAGGACGTGTCAGACATGGGACCCGGGCCACACGTGCACACCCTCATCTTATCAAGATGAAATTTTCTGAGTTTCCCAATCAGCAGGGAACCATAATGCAGGTGGTACTGGTGGGTGTGGGGGACATAGGACCCAGGCAACCACAGAGAAATGCCCCTAGCAATGCAGCGTGGTAGGGTAAGGACAGGTTGAGAGCCACGAGGGACTCCTACCATCCCACTGCGACCTGGCAACCAGAACCCACTCCCAGCCTGTCGCCAACCTCACTGGGGACTGCAAGAGCGTCTCAACTTCCCTCGAAATCGTGAGGACGTGGACACCAGTGAATTTCAGGGGTCCTCGTGTGCTGAATCCCAGGAAGAGCTACACTGAGGAACCACGCTGCTGCCAGATGCTCAAGCTCCCGGCCTGAGGAGGCCCTGCCTCGGTGTGGGCGGGGACAGCTGGGAAGGTATGGCTGGTGACCCATGGGAGGGAACCCTCCATGAGGGCAACCGGCTAACATCTTTTCAAGGGAAAGGACACATTCCACCCACAAACCCCACCCTAGGAATTCATCCGGGGGCCAGCTGTGGTACACACACCACTCGACAGGCTGAGGCCACACAGGAGGCCTGTGTTCAGATCCTAGCCCAGCCCTGAAGCCAGGCATGGTGGGACACACCTGTGGTCCCAGCTACACGGGGGGCTGGGACAGGGGAATCAGAACATAGCGAGATCCTGTCTGGAAAAAAAAAAAAAGCATCCTTCTGAGATGGCCTTGACACGTGAGCCATGATGTGTGGGTGACAGACCGTAGCCTTTTTGTTACTGCAAGAGCAGCAGCCTGGACACTGTCTCAAGGTCCTCAGGAGGGGCCAGTTCCAAGAAGCTACACGCAACACGCACTGTGGATGTGGCCAGAAAAGCCAAGGAAGCGTCACCCACACTGACAGTGAACGATCTCCGTGCTGCACCTCAGGAATAAGAGCCAAGCGTGACAGCGGGAGGACCGCTCTGTCGTGTGTGCAGAGAAGAGGAGGAGGACACAGACGCCTTTGCTCACGCACACATGGGCTAGCTCTCGAAGGATCCTAAGACACCTTCCTCTGTGAAGATGGCCTTTTGTGCCAAGGAAAGGAACCGGCTCTGGGAAACCGCGGCCGAAGACAAGAGCAGGCGGAGAAGTAACCCTAGAGCAGTTACCTTCTCAACGTCATCAGCGTAGGCAGACAGACCTGGCTTCAGTGCTTTGAAGGTTTCGTGGGTCAAGGTGGGAGTTTCTAAAAGGAAAACATGTTCAAAGGAAGGGTTTAGCTGTGAATACACACAAAGACACATGAACATGCACAACCACGACTGGCCATATGTGTCAAAAGCAGTCGTCTGACCACACAGACAACACAGGGCATAGGGCCCTTCAGCAGTTCCTTGGCTAACATCACCCTTTTTGTTCAGTGTGACACTGAATGTTTTGCCAGAATTTTATCTTTTAATTTTTAATCAACTTTAATGAGGGTAAATTATATACCAACCCTTCCCCCCCAAAAAAAAACTGTACCCATTTAAGTGATAATTCTAACATAGTTAATTTTTATTGGTTCAACGAACAGAAGAACAGGATAAATGATTCCAAAGTGCAAATGTGCAAATCCTTTCCTGGCTTCTGGGGCAGGGTTCTGAAGTTTGGTTGGTTGTTTTTTTTCTTTTAAAAACAATTGCATGTTTAAAATTGTGAGTAGTCTGGACTCACATGCACACAACAAGGAATGGGGCAGGGGCATACTGTGGCCCAGGGATATCCACCAAAGTTCAGACTCAAAGACCCAGGAGGAAAAACCAGGCCAGAAAAAATATCAAGGGCAAAACGTTCTGTGGAGACTTTCTTTCCAAAGATAAAACCCAGGAATACGACTCAGAGGGTCACAGCCCACGTGCTCTCTGAATCTGGCTTCAGAATCAGTTTTGGAGGTAAGAGGCTATAGCGTCTAGATATGTACTATAATAAGCTAAAAAATAAGGCAGGTGATTAAAAGTAAATGAGATAGCCCACAATAGCTTTGGGGAGGCTGCTGAAAGTGTCCAGAGCCAACAGAGTAAATCAGGCCAAGGTGGTGTCTACTAAAGGTATCAGAAAGTCAGCCGAGACCCAGGGAGGAAGGACACCAGAGTGTGACCTGCAGACCTGCCCGGCTGGGAACGCTTCCTGGCCACAGATCCACAGATTAGAGGGACACACCCCAGAGGGCAACCCTCAGGCCGACAGACACAAAGGGGCCCAGACGGAAGGGAGAAGAGAGGAGTGGGATGAAGAGCAGGGCTCCCAGGGTCTCCCGACAGCAGGAGCCACCCTCCCTCCAACCTACAGCCCTTGGCCCCCCTGGGAGGCAAAACCAGGGTGGGGTTGTGGGGATTGTGGGAGCAGAGGCCCTCACACTGTGGCAGCTCCAGGCAGCCTGGGTTGCAGGTCTTTGGCTGGGGTTACTTCCTTCCTTAACTCTCTGGACATGACCTCTGAC